TCACGGACGTTGTGTTGTGCGGGCTAAAGAAGAGAGGGACCATCCAGCTTGTTATCAGTGTACAGTTCAAAAGCCTGCATCTCTGATGGTATGGGTTTGCATTAGTGCCAATGGCATGGGCAGCTTACAGATCTGGAAAGGCACTATCAGTGCTGAGAAGTCGACAGAGGTTTTACAACAACATATTGTCCCATCCAGATACCATCTCTTTCAGGGAAGGTCATGCATATTTCGGCAAGACAATGCTAAACCACATACTGCATCCATCACAACAGCATGGCTTCACAGCTCACAGCCCGGACTGTTGAGCAGCCAGAATCCTACATCAGACAAGAGTGGAACAACATTCCTCTCCCAAAACTCCAGCAGTGGTAATTTCCCAAATGTTTACAGACTGTCAGTAAAAGAAGAAAGGATGCTACAAAATGGTAAACAAGGCCCTGTCCTAACTTTTTTGAGATGAGTTACTGCCATCAAATTCAAAATGAGTTAATATTTTTCATGAAGTGATAAAATGTCTCACTTTCAACATCTGATATGTTGTCTATGTTCTGTTGCAAATAAAATATTGGTTTATGAGATTTGCACATCATTGCATTCTGTTTTTGTTTACATGTTACATGGCATCTCAACTTTTTTGCAGTTGGGGTTGTACTTACCTAGCTAGTTATTTAGTGTATAGGTTTATTTCCATTTGCTCCCGGGAGACTGAAAACCCACCCGAATAACCCCCCATCGCCTTAATTTGACCAGATTAGTGACCTAATTCGGCTATTTCCTAACCAGGTTGTTACAAGGGGAAAAAAAATGGTGGGCAAGTATCTCCCTTCCCACACAACAAAGGTTATACCTCTAGAGCAAATCGCCTGACCTCTTTGAATGTTTGAGCTTATACACACAATTATCAACAAAAACCCTTGCAACAAGAGGAAATCTCCCTCCTTCCTTCAACAACAATTACAGCAACAGCTGCCTTTGCCTCTCTCCGACCTCTCTCTGTATCAGTCTCTCTCCGACCTCTCTCTGGATCAGCCTCTCTCCGACCTCTCTCTGTATAGCCTCTCTCCACCTCTCTCTCAGCCTCTCTCCGACCTCTCTCTGTATCAGCCTCTCTCCGACCTCTCTCTGTATCAGCCTCTCTCCGACCTCTCTCTGTATCAGCCTCTCTCCGACCTCTCTCTGTATCAGCCTCTCTCCGACCTCTCTCTGTATCGCCTCTCTCCGACCTCTCTCTGTATCAGCCTCTCTCCGACCTCTCTCTGTATCAGCCTCTCTCCGACCTCTCTCTGTATCAGCCTCTCTCCGACCTCTCTCTGTATCAGACCTCTCTCCGTATCACCTCTCCGACCTCTCTGTATCAGCCTCTCTCCGACCTCTCTCTGTCATCAGCCTCTCTCTGTATCAGCCTCTCTCCGACCTCTCTCTGTATCAGCCTCTCTCCGACCTCTCTCTGTATCAGCCTCTCTCCGACCTCTCTCTGTATCAGTCTCTCTCCGACCTCTCTCTGTATCAGTCCAAGCAGAATGATCACAGAGCAACAGCACAGCCAACAGAGCAACAGCCAGGTTCCAAAATGTTCTGTCTTGTAACCAGCTCTGAATCCACTCCAAATTACCATATTCCAACAGTCGTTATTTAAAAAATCAATGTGCACCTGTATCAAATCCTTTCTGAAAATTCAAGTATCATTGGCCCTGCTCTAATTATACAATCCCAATTCCGAAATAGTTGGGACAAAGTGTAAATTGTGAATAAAATCAAAACGCAATGACTTTCAAATCACACCAGCCAGTATTTTATTCACAAAAGAACAGAGATAACATAGCAAATGTTGAAACTGAGAAATTTTAAAATTTTATCCACAAAATGAGCTCATTTCAAATTTGATGGCTGCTACAGGTCTCAAAAAAGTTGGGACAGGGGCCTTTTTACAATGGTGTAGCATCCCCTCTTCTTTTTTACACAGAGTGGAGGCGTCTGGGCATTGAGGAGACAAGTTTCTTGAGTTTAGCCATTGGAATTTGATCCCACTCTTGTTTAATACAGGCTTCCAGCTGCTGGAGAGTTTTGGGTCTCCTTTGACGGACTTTTCGTTTAATTATGCGCCAAATGTTCTCAATCGGTGAATGATCAGGACAGCAGGCAGGCCAGTTCAGCACATGAACTCTTCTACTACGAAGCCATGCTGTTGTAATAGCTGCAGTATGTGGTTTTGCATTGTCCTGCTGAAATACACAAGGCCTTCCCTGGAATAGATGTCATCTGGAGGGGAGCATATGTTGCTCTAAAACCTTTATATACCTTACAGCATTCATGGTGCTTTTTAAAACATGCAAGTGTCCCACACCATATGCACTAATGCATCCCCATTCCATCAGAGATGCTGGCTTTTGAACTGAACGCTGATAACAGGAGGGGTGCTCTTTCTCCTCTTTAGCCCAGAGGACACAACGCCCATGATTTCCAACAAGAATGTCAAATTTGGACTCGTCTGACCACAGGACACTTTGCCACTTTGCTACAGTCCATTTTAAATGAGACTTGGCCCACAGAACACAACGGTGCTTCTGGATCATGCTCAACAATTGCTTCCTTTTTTGCATGATAGAGTTTTTGGTGGCATCTGTGGATGGCAAAGGCGGACTGTGTTTACAGACAGTGGTTTCTTGAAGTATTCCTGGGCCCATTTAGTAATGTCAATGACAGAATCATGCCGGTGAATGATGCAGTGGTGTCTGAGGGCCCGAAGATCACGGGCATCCAGTAAAGGTCTTCAGCCTTGTTTCTTACGCACAGAGATTTTTCCAGTTTCTCTGAATCTTTTGATGATATTATGCACTGTCGATGATGAGACCTTCAAAGCCTTTGTAATTTGATGTTGAGGAACATTGTTTTCAAAGTATTCTACAATTTTTTTACGCAAACCTTCACAGGTTGTAGAGCCTCTGGCCATCTTTACTTCTGAGAGACTCAGCCTCTGTAAGACATCCCTTTTATAGCCAATCATGTTACACACCTGATGCCAGTTAACTTAATTACTTGCTAAATGTTCTTTCAGCTGATTCTCTTATATATGAATTGCTTTTTCAGCCCTTTTTTGCCTGTGTCCCAACTTTTTTGAGATGTGTTGCAGCCAGAAAATTTGAAATGAGCTCATTTTGTGGATAAAAATGTGAAATCTCTCAGTTTCAACATTTGAAATGTAATCTATGTTCTATTGTAAAGAACATATTGGCTCATATGATCCGAAAGTCATTGCATTTTAATTTTATTCACAATTTACACTTCGTCCGAACTATTTCCAAGTTGGGGTTGTAAGTCATAGACGCTTTCTTCAAAGAATTCCAAAATGTTAGTCAGTCATGACCTTCCCTTATGAAAACCATGTTGGCTATCTTCCAGGAAAAATTCCAGCTTGTCATTCATGATAGATTCCAGTTTTTTGAATGCAATGCAAGTGAAGCTGACAGGCCTGGAATGACTGGCTAAAATTATGAACTATAAATTGCCCCCTGATGCTTGACCAGGAAAAGCTAGCCATTCTGAATGAGTGCTGGGAAGCCAAACCTCATTTCACTTTTAGTGCCATCGTATCTTAGCCAGGACAGCACATCACCTATTGTTTTTTTGGAAATTTTTGAAAGAGATAGAAGCAGTCATTTCTAATGTGGATCATGTCTGCTTACCTGGCATAAAACTGTGGGCATTAGGTGCAGTTGAATAGTTTCCTTGTCTTGCACTGTAACATTCTTACATCAATGATCTTGGTTTTGGAGAATTGTACTTCCTTGTACTTGTAAAGTAGTGGTCATCAGATCTACTTTCCATGGAGAAGGTCTTCTGCTCAACCATCAGTAGAACCAGACATTCTGCTGTCTTTCCCAGCAATGTCTCATTCCCCATCAGAGATACAACACACCACTGGGTGTAGTTAACTTAATAATCAATCAGCTTGTTTAATTAGGCTTTTTATACTAAAGTGGAAAAGCAGATCATGCCATGGAAACTCTGTGTGATGTGTTATTATCACGAACTGATCCATGGACGTTGATGATTCAAAAAACAGGTAAACCCAGTTTGCTTGCTCCCCCAATACCATCAACTCTTAGCCAGGACAGACATAACAGCGACTGGTTTTTGAGAAAGTTTAGAAAAACATAAAGTCATGTCAAATATGGCCCTGTGACACAAAAAAATGCACCCTCGATGTAATGATGAATGAAAGTAAAGATTTTTCCATGATGCATGAGCAGCATATGGACGTATTTCTCAATGAACAGGGCAGATCAGGTCTGCTTAACTGGTGTAAAATCCTGAGTGTCAGTTGCAGTTGACCAGTTGCATTTGCATCATGATAATGGGGCTCTCCAACAATTAAAATGCATGGTTCCATAGTGTAGTGGTCATCACGTCTGCTTTACACGCAGAAGGTCCTGGGTTCAACCCCCAGTGGAACCAGTCCTTGGATTCTCCTTACCTCACATAGGCCATCTGTATCCCCATCAAACCCTAAATGCACCAGTGTTTGATGAAGTACATACTCCAACATCTTGATTGAATAAGAACTTTACAATGAAATTATTAAAGCCTGTTTTCACGGTTTGATACAAGGAAGGTGCCGATTCATGATGCATATAAACCTAATTTGCTTGCACTTCTAATGCCCTAAACTCGTCGCCAGGGCAGACGCGTCAAGCACTGGTTTTCGAGAAAATTTAGAGAAACATATAGTCATGTTAAATATGGCTCGCCTGCATAACAAAATTTACCCTTGATTTATTGATGATTTTAAGTAAAAATTTCACCCTGATGCAGGAGGAGGAAAGGTATGTATTTCTCAATTAGCAAGTGGAGATCATGTCTGCTTACCCGCCATAAAATCATAGGCATTAGGTGCAGTTGAAGAGTTTCCTTGGCTTGCACGTTAACATCCTTACGTCAATGATTTTGGGTTCAGAGCTTTTTTCTGACTCGTACTAGTAAGAGTTTAATAAATATTACGCTGCGAACAGGGTTCGAACCTGCGCGGGAAAATCCCATTCGATTTCAAATCCCATGCCTTAAACTCTCGGCCATCACCGCACACCCCAAATGGTTGCCATGACCCCTCTCTCTTCAAAGAATGTTTCTTTTGGACAAAGTGAATTTTAATCGTGAATGCACTTCTCTGCGATGACACAATTCTGCAGATGGTTCCATAGTGTACTGCTGGCATAAAGTCCTCGGCGTCAGGTGCAGTCAGACAATTCCATTGTCTTGCACTCAAACATGCCTACATCATAATCTTAGGCTCCACAACTTTGTTTCTTACAAGCACTGCTTAGAATTAAATTGATAAAATGCTGCGAGCACGGTGCAAACCTGCACAGGGATATACCCCATTAGATTTCAAGTCCAATGTGATAACTTCTTGGGCATCACAGCACTGCCCTCAGGACTGACATGGCTCCTCTTTCTGCAAAGAATGTTTCCATTTCCCATAGAGGACTTGAATCCTCCATGAAGAAGGTCTTGTGCTCAACCACCAGTAGAACCAGACATTCTGTTGTCTTTTCCGGTAATGCATCAGTCCCCATCAGAGACCAAAGAGATCACTGAGTGTAGTTAACTTAATACTCAATCAGCTTGTTTAATTAGGCTTTTTATACTGAGGAGAAAGAGCAGATCATGCAATTGAAACTCTTTGTGATATGTTATTATCACGGACTGATGCATGGCCGTTGATGATTCATAATACAGGTAAACCCAGTTTGCTTGCACTCCCAATGGCATCAACTCTTAGCCAGGACAGACATTAAAGCGACTGGTTTTTGAGAAAGTTTGGAAAAACATAAAGTCATGTGAAATATGGCACAAAAAAAAAAAAAAAAGCACCCTCGATGTAATGATGAATGAAAGTAAAGATTTTTCCATGATGCATGAGCAGTATACGGACGTATTTCTCAATGACCAGAGCAGATCTGGTCTGCTTAACTGGGGAAAAATCCTGAGTGTCAGTTGCAGTTGACCAGTTGCATTTTCTGGCTCTGAAACATTCTTACATCATGATAATGGGGCTCTCCCACCCCAACAGTGCATGGTTCCATAGTGTAGTGGTCATCACGTCTGCTTTACACGCAGAAGGTCCTGGGTTCAAGCCCCAGTGGAACCAGCCCTTGGCTTCTCTTTACCTCACATGCAGCATCTCTATCCCCATCAAACATTGAATTCACCAGTGTTTGTGGTAAGTACATACTCAAACAACTTGATTGAATGGGAACTTAACAATGAAATTATTAACGCCTGCTTTCACTGTTTGATACAAGGAAGTTTGCAATTCATGATGCAGATCAACCTAATTTTCTTGCACTTCTAATGTCCTAAACTCTTCGCCAGGAAATCTCAGACAGCACTGTCGATAGTTCCAAAGTATACTAGCCTCAAAGTGCTAGGATGAATGGTTCTTTAGTGTAGTGGTCATCACATCTACTTTCCATGGAGAAGGTCTTGTGCTCAACCACCAGTAGAACCAAACATTCTGTTGTCTTTTCCGGTAATGCATCAGTCCCCATCAGAGACCAAAGAGATCACTGATTGTAGTTAACTTAATACTCAATCAGCTTGTTTACTTAGGCTTTTTATACTGAGGTGAAACAGCAGATCATGCAATTGAAACTCTCTGTGATATGTTATTATCACGGACTGATGCATGGACGTCGATGATTCATAATACAGGTAAACCCAGTTTGCAATACCATCAACTCTTAGCCAGGACAGACATAACAGCGACTGGTTTTTAAGAAAGTTTGGAAAAAGATAAAGTCATGTGAAATATGGCCGTGTGACGCAAAAAAAATGCACCCTCGATGTAATGATGAATGAAAGTAAAGATTTTTCCATGATGCATGAGCAGCATACGGACCTATTTCTTCAGAAGAATCTCTGCTTTTGAAAATCCTGAGTGTCATTTGCAGTTGACCAGTTGCATTTTCTGGCTCTGAAACATTCTTACATCATGATAATGGGGCCTCCAACAACTAATCATGGTTGAGTGGTCATCACGCATGGTTGCAGAAGGTCCTGGGTTCAATTACAGTGGTCTGGTGAATCATTGGCATAAACCAGGTGTCAGGTTTCAGACTTCCATTGTCTTGCACTCAAACATGCCTTACATCATAGGCCATGGGGCCCCACAAAACTTAAAATGCATGTGTAAATTGATAAAATGTGGTCATCACGGTGCTGATTGAATAAGGTATACCCTGGGTTCAACCCCAATGTGGAAAGTCCTGTTTTCACTGGTTTGATACAAGGAATGGCCATTCTGATGCCCCCTTCAAACCCTTCTAATGGACTAAGTGTTCCATGAAGACACTGGTTTTGTGAGAAAATTTCAACCTTGTCATTGAATATGGCTTTGCATAACAAAATTTACCCTTGATTTATTGATGATTTTGTTTTCACCTGATGCAGGAGGAGGAAAGGTAATTTCTCAATTAGCAAGTGGAGATCATGTCTGCTTAAACCATAAAATTTAGGCATTTTGCAGTTGAAATAACATCCCAATGATTTTGGGTTCTCTTTTCTGACTCCAAGAGGTTAATAAATATTACGCTGTAAGACTAGTAAAAAATCAAATCCCCGCAGGGTTCAATAAGGGTTTTAAAATCCTTGTTTTTCAAATCCAAATGCATTTTCACTACCCCAAATGGTTGTTTTTGGACTCTCTGAATTATGTTTCATGGACAAATGAAACGTGAATTTTGATTGATGATTTTAGATCAAATTTTACTGCCTGAGGTGCAGTCAGACAATTCCATTGTCTTGCATGATTCACATCATAATAAACCCACAACTTTTGCTTACAAGCACCAATTAAAATAAATTAGGCATGAGGTGCAGGTGCAAACCTGCACAGGGATAAAGTTTGGAACATTAGATTTCAAGTCCAATGAAATATGGGTTGGGCATCAAAAAACTGACTCAGGACTGTAATGATGAATTTCTGCAAAGAATTTTTCCATTTCCCATAGAGGACTTGAATCCTCCATGAAGAAGGTCTTGTGCTCAACCACCAGTAGAACCAGATTCTGGTCTTTTTCCTTAATGCATCAGTCCCCAAAAAAGAGATCACTGAGTGTAGTTAAGTTACTCAATCAGCTTGTTTACCTGAGGAAAAGAGCAGATGAAACTCTTTGTGATAACATTTTCTTCAGGGCTCCCCAAATGGTTGCCATGAGGAAACTCAATCCAAGGCTTTTGGACAAAGCAGATTTTCAATAGTGAATGTGATCATGTTCTCACGGACTGACAATTCTTGATGAGATGGTTCAAAGTTTGCTTACTCCTGGCAACCTCTTAGCCAGGACAGACATTCACTGGTTTTTGAGAAAGTTTGGAAAAACATAAAGTCATGAAATTGCCCATCAAAAATTGAACTCACCATGTAATGATGAATGAAAGTAAAGATTTTTCCATGATGCATGAGCAGTATTTGTATTCAAACAAACCATTGAGATCTGGTCTTAAATTGAAAAATCCTGAGTGTCAGTTGCAGTTGACACAGTTGCATTTTCTGGCTCTGAAACATTTTACATCATGATGCATTTCAAGTCCAATTTTACAGTGCATGGTTCCATAGTTCTAGTGGGCATCTGCTTTACACGCAGAAGGTCCTGGGACAGCCCCAGTGGAACCAGCCCTGGTTCCTTTATACTCACATTCAGCATCTCTATCCCCATGAAACATTCTTTACCTCCATTGAAGAACTTAACAATGAAATTATTAAGAGGTGTGTGTGGTAATCACACTCAAACTTTCCATGAATGGGAACTTAACAGGTCTTGTGCTCAACCACCAGTAGAACCAAACATTCTGTTGTCTAATTTTCTTGTAATGCATCAGTCCCCATCAGAGACCAAAGCAGAGTTCACTGATTGTCAAAGTTAGGATGAATACTCAATCAGATTGTTTGGAGAAGGCTTTTTATACTGAGGAAAAACAGCAGATCATGCAATTCAGTCCCTCATCAGTGTGATATGTTATTATCACGGACTGATGCATGGACGTCGATGATTTTTAATACAGGTAAACCCAGATTTGCAATTGAAACTCTCATGTGATCAACTTTAGCCAGGACAGATGCAACAGCGATGATTTTGAGAAAGTTTGAAAAACATAAAGTCATGTGAAATATGGACCTGTGACAACAAAAAAAAAAAACCCTCGATGTAATGATGAATGAAAAAAAAGATTTTTCCATGATGAATGAGCATTTTTCCATGGACGAGCGCATTTTCTCAATGAACAGGGCAGATCTGGTCTGCTTAGCTGGCGAAAAATCCTGAGTGTCAGTTGCAGTTGACCAGTTGCATTTTCTGGCTCTGAAACATTCTTACATCATGATAATGGGGCCCTCCAACAACTAAAATGCATGGTTCCATAGTGTAGTGGTCATCACGTCTGCTTTACACGCAGAAGGTCCTGGGTTCAATCCCCAGTGGAACCAGTCCTTGGATTATCCTTACCTCACATAGGCCATCTGTATCCCCATCAAACCCTAAATGCACCAGTGTTTGATGAAGTACATACTCCAACATCTTGATTGAATAAGAACTTTACAATGAAATTATGAAAGCCTGTTTTCACGGTTTGATACAAGGAAGGTGCCGATTCATGATGCAGATCAACCTAATTTGCTTGCACTTCTAATGCCCTAAACTCGTCGCCAGGGCAGACGAGTCAAGCACTGGTTTTCGCGAAAATTTAGAGAAACATATAGTCATGTTAAATATGGCTCGCCTGCATAACAAAATTTACCCTTGATTTATTGATGATTTTAAGTAAAAATTTCACCCTGATGCAGGAGGAGGAAAGGTATGTATTTCTCAATTAGCAAGTGGAGATCATGTCTGCTTACCCGCCATAAAATCATAGGCATTTGGTGCAGTTGAAGAGTTTCCTTGGCTTGCACGTTAACATCCTTACGTCAATGATTTTGGGTTCAGAGCTTTTTCTGACTCGTACTAGTAAGAGGTTAATAAATATTACGCTGTAAGCAGGGTTCGAACCTGCGCGGGAAAATCCCATCGATTTCAAATCCC